CCGAGGCCGTGCCTGACACAGGGCAGCTGGCGGGAGGCAAAGGGCACTGCAGGGGGGGTGGTTTTGGCAGACACCCCTTCCCCGCTGGAGGGGAGGGAGGCAATGGCATTTTTCCACGTCCCCCCTCTTTTGTTCCTTACTCGGGACCGTGAGCTTTGCGTCTATCTGCTGCGGCGTGCGCTTGCGAAGCCCAGGCGGGGCCTGATCCGTAGCTCCATCCCTCCCGTGCGACCACAATACACACACAACCGGACAGCCGTGGCACAACGGGGTTGCGGACTGACACCAGGTCAGGAACACGGACACGTCCACCGCCAAGTCACAAACACAGGAGCACTGCTGGGACTTCGAATGAACAGCAAAACAAGATTCACTTACACGGAAAACGAGTGGCTTACACAGACGTATGTGAAAAACCAAATGCTTTAATCCATCTATCAAGAACAACAGTTCAAATTATTTCATTGGATACATTAATATTGATCCATAATTTACAGTGCTATGGACCATACACAAATTATTGCTGCAGTCAACAGCAGATGAATATCAACATTACAGTACCAAGCATCATAGCAAGAGGCAGTAATTAATGTCACTTTTTCAAGAAATATAGGTATTTATACTATTATCAACATCAGCTTCCCCCCCAGTGCATTTTATGTCAAACAACATAAATGTAAGTGCATTATTTTGTGCTTTGTGCTTTCCTTATGTACCTTCTTTTTGCTTCTACAGGTTGTAAGAGTTAAATATTGCTTCATAGGCCAAAAGCAGTAAGGAAGAACTTCATGGTACTCTGCACGTTCCTGCTTGTCGCATGGCTTTGGCAGAGTGAGAACTGGTAGGCATCCTGACCACCCGCTCAGGGAAGCCACTGCTGGCCCAGCGTCCCACAAGAGACTGTCACCAGCCTGGGCAAGGACTTCTGTCCATCTCACTCCACCCAGTTCCTGCCAAACCCCGCCTGTAACTGCTGTCTCTGTCCTCTGCCACCGATCCCCTGTGAAACGTCACGGCCACGCATTCCACGACACTGAAGCGGGCAAAGACATCTCCAGTTAGCACCTGCCTGGAGGTCCGTGTCTCCTAGAGGTGACCCCGCTGCAGTGTCAACATGCTTCCACTCGAAGGGTGGGCAAACTCAGAGGAGGGCTGTAGCCTAAGGAAACACGGGGCAACGAGTGAGCAGGGCACAGCCGAGTCGTATGTTACCCCAGAGCAACACAAGGTACAGAGAACACATAACACGGCTGCTGGGGCCACAGAGACTTTCATCAAGAAATCCAGCTCTTGATGTAACGGTTTTCCTTGAATCCTAACTTGTCTCTGCACAGCATGTAGCCAAAAATCAGAAGTCATGGCTGTCAGTGAGTACCAGTGGTTTCACGTAAGCTTGAAAAATATTTATATACCACAGTCTAGACTTCATTTTTCTCAATGCCCAGCAGGGGCATAAAACAAAAGCCTTATTCAATATATTCAGTGGTTCCCAGTTACTACACTCAAGCACGCACACCCCGATTTTCTACAACGCCGCAGAGCCGTCCCATTTTAATGGGGAAGCGTTAACGCAACGCTGCGCTCCAGCTACGAGCATTTTACAGTCCTTGATTTTTCTTTACCTGTCACCGTTACCAAAAGGCAGCACCAGAAGCCTGCACCCGCATACTCGACTTGGAGCGAACACTGGCACAGCTGCCTTGCAGGGAATTTCCCTGCCCGAGGACCACGACGGCTGCAGGCAGGCTCCCGGGTCCTGCCCTGGGCCAGAGGTTCAGTACCCTAGGAAAGACACATTCCCAAAAGCTGTCTGGGGTGGGGGGGGAAAGGCATCATTATCTAACTCCAGCTCCTTCCTCAAAAAATTGAAAAAAAAAAATAAAATAATAAAAAAAAAAGGACACAACCCAGCGGTTGCATCAACGCTAACACGTAGCTCACTGCTCAAGCAGCAACGGAGATGGCCGGAGGCAGCCAGCAACAGCCACAGAAAGAGCGACACGAACGCAGACCCCGGAGGACTGTAACAGCGAGCCGGGTCCCCGCCGAACCCCGCGCCCCTCACCACCTGCACCGGGAGGAGCGGGGCCGGGCAGGGGACGCTTCGAGAACCCTTCCACGGGGAAACGCGTGGGTGAAGGCTCAGCGAGCCGCGCCGCAGGAACTCCCGACGTCGTCCCCACCGGTGCCATCGCCACCCAATTCACATTTGATCTCCGAACACCAACTGCTGCGACCGAGGTTTCTGTATGAAGCCTGCCGAACTGGCACTCAAGTCACTAACCCTTTCACTTATCCTATGGAGTTTCCAGTGTAGCACAAAGGAGAACGGGAAGCTCTTGTTTTCTATACGTAGGCACCATGCTACACTTCAACGTCACCAAACATCACCCGAAAGCTCTCTCCTATGCCACACTTCAGTCAGTGCTAGTCGAGGAAGACTACAACTAGAGTTTAAGGCACTTCATTCTGAACGAGATACGCTTGCCTGCCGCTTGCGAGTCAGCTGTAGGCTGCTATTGAGAAATCCATTCCATCCACCTAGCTCGTAACACCACAGGTCACCTCTGTAAAACACCTAGGCTTGATATAATACAAGTATAACTACCGTTATTGCATAGGACTACACTTGAGTAGATAATGCACCGAACTACTTTTACAACATGGTTGCATGTTAAAAATTAATAACATTGTTATCAAGTAACAGTTATTTGCAGATACAGTAATTTACTCTTTTTTTTTTGTTTGTTTTGTTTGGTTTTTTCTTATGTTAGCCCCAGTGCTGAAATAAAACACAAATTACTATAACGGGTATATTAACTACATAGTTATGTTTCCAAGCATATTACTACTTTTTTCTGTATCACTAAAAATAAATATGTAAGTTCAGTTTCTCTACAGAGCTTTTTATTACCTAATCTAAATTCGTACTCTACCTTAAATGTGTTTAAAAACATTTTCAAAGTGAGACTGTAATATACAAAATATTCTCAAAATCTCTCTTAAAACACAGAACCCTGCATAAAAGCTTCCTTTCAAGTGTTTACAAAGAACGCAGAAAACCGCCAATGAATTTTAAAAATGTCAAAAAATTGCTGTAATATTAAGAGGCAAAAATCTTACAAATGAAATACAAATATATTTAAAACAAAAAGTTGAGGATAACTAAGGAATCCATGCAAATCAAAATAAACTGTACAATGCAATTTAAAAAAAATAAAGCCAATTAGATATGTACAACACAATGTGCCCAGCTGATAAAATGTATCTCTTTTTTTTTGTCCAAAGAGTGTATACCAACTTACAGTGCTCCTGCTTTGTCTACTGCTGGCAAGCCATCAACACGTGTTATAAAACAAAATAGAAACCTAAGAGAAAAACCTCGAACCATGATCAAAAGGAAAACCCAAATCAGCTCAGAGTAAAATGAAACAGCACTCTGAGGAAGAGACTCACATCTCCCTGCAATTTTCAGCGACAGCATTTTGTATCACAAACAACACAATCAGGATGTCTTAATACTTTTTTGTTTGTTTGTTTGTAGTCTGAGTCAAGTAGGGTGGGTATTTCTCCCTAAACCCTTGTCATGTGAAGACCAACGTTTGAGGGACACTGTATCTTTAAGGCAGCACTATTCAATTAATACAATTACAAATTGGACTTTTTTTTTTTTTTTTGGTTTCTTTACATTCTTTAACTTTACATTTTGTTTCCAAGTAAATAGGTTGCATTTACAATTCTACGATCCCTCCCCCCGCCCCACCCCGCAAGTAGAAACAAACTCTTCATTTGTAATTCTATTGCTTTGAGTAGATTTGACCAGTTCAAAGTTCTTGGCGAATCCAGTTCACAGATACTGTACATATGCTGTACAATATTTTGGAGGCATTGGTAGTTTTAAAATAGAATATACAAGTTTCTTCACAAAAATTCTAAAAAAAATCCTATATATATAATATATACACACGCGCACACACACTGGGCTACTGATGAAGCACAAGGGGAAAAAAAAAAATCAAAAAATTCTACAAAAAGGTAAATTATTTAATCTACTGATCAAGAAACAAAGCAGTTTATGAAAGGTGTGCCAAGCAGATGCTAACAGGGATGATCGGTGTCCTCCATGCTGACGCTGCTCCGCCTGCTACTCGTCTTCGATGCGCCGGGAGACACAGAGGAAAGCAGTGGGTCAGTTACTCCGACAGGGGAGAGGGTATCGTCCATCAGGATGTCTTCCAGTTTGGATCCCATTTTTGCAGGAACGCTGTAAGTGCCAGTCGGTTCAGTCACGTTCCCCAGGTTGTCACTGAAGGTGATGGTACCGTCAGTGAGGTCGAGGGTGGTAGTGCAAGACAGGTCTGTGTGGTGCGGCATGATGTCTTGGTTGCAGTTGTCCAGCACAGGCTCTTGTTTGATGACCCTGTTGACCATATCAGGGGAGCAAAGGCCTGTAGATGGAACAAGGGACAGTCCGTGTGCCCGAGCTTGCATCTCAAGTTCCTGTGAAAGAGGATAAGGGACGAATTAAAAAAAAAAATCTGAAAGCAAAATCTGTCATCTTAGGCTTCTGTGTACTGCAACTTACAGCTTCCTTCTGCTGGACACAAACCGTTTCCTCCCTTCCCAGTAGCAACAAGTGCTCACACCTTGTGCACTTCTGCCCAGCAGATTTTCATCTGAACTTATATTTCGTCTCTTGAAGAGGTGGGTGAACACCACCCCACACAGGTCCCTCATTACTTCTACTCAGAACCTACACCGGGGCCAAAACCCAGCACCCTGTAGAACAAACACGTTTCCCCTCGGGCCTCTTCTCAAACCAGTGCCACGGTAGGCAAGTTTGGCATCACGTCAGGTGAGGAAAGCATTTAAAAGTTGGGGGGGAAGAAAATAGCAGTAGCATATGCTTAGCACTTTTTAAAAAGTCCTATGTGAAGGCACAGCATGTCTCTATGATGCTTGTCATTCCCGGCTGAGACACTGGAAGGGACATTTCTCATTCTGCCAGTCTGGTAGAGCTGGAAGGAAAGAGATCAGCCAAAACCGAGCAACACTATCCCTGCACTGAAAAGTTATAGGCAAGTCATAGGAAGGCTTTAGATTTCACACACAGAGCCAGGATTCTTCAAATCTTCATGAAAAGTTTAGATCCCACCTTCACATTTAATCATATAGATGCACTCAAATGAAGACAAGTAATAGAATTCATGTAAACGGCCTTTCTCAAGTGCAGCAGTATGAGAGATGTTGTGCTTCTACTTATGCTTTATAGCAATCACAATCACTGTTGTGATTGCACTGTTTCTGGATATTCCTATCACCGAGGTTGACTAATAGCCTTTTTGCCATTGTCAAGCTAAGACAAGAAGCTTGGAATAGCACACTGCAAGATGAACAGAGAAGGTGGGACAAGGAAGCCCTTCTTCCACCAGCTAACGTGCCAAAATTAGGAGTTCCTTATTCTGCGCTTAATCAGAATCAACACAAAAAGGGAAAACACAGACTTTAGGTTATTTGCTGCAAGATGTATGGCCCATTATTCAAGGGTCTGGTTTTTATTTTGATTGAAGAAAAAGCCAGAGCAGACGGATAACGCAAAAGAAGATGAAAGGTGCTTAAAAAGTGATCTGACTTAGCTTTGAAATACCTCTGCTTGGTGTTGCTCTGCAGAAGGGTCGTGCATCTTTATCGCCTCCCTCTAGCACAGTGCTCGAGTTTTGCTCAACAAAGTACAAAACCTGCACTGCCGCTCAACCCAGCCTGTTGTATTCTCAAGTTGTTTACTGCCACACTTGACTCTCAGATATTTCCAGCTTCGCTATCTACTTTGTGGATTAGCTGTGCCGTGGTTCAGGGGTGCCCTGACACAGCAGCCAGCCTGGCACGCTGCAGCCCGCACCCCGAGCTCAGCTGTTGGCGCTGCAGGTGAGGAGCAACACGAGACTATCTGGGACATCACCGTCTCTGCGTTATGTGTTCTCACACCCAGTTCTAGATACACTGCTTTAATTACCCTTTTATAGAGGGGTGGATATCCAGCTACCTTTGTCCACTTGAGGCAGAACAGAGCGGACAACAAAAACTGTGTAGGGTGCAAGGTTGAGGTTTCCTATCCAGCTTGAGGTGAAGGCAAAGGAATTAAGAGAAATGAGTTCTCATCTCTAAATCTTGGTGTAACACAGGCTATTGGGAACCTGGGTGAATCCAACAAAACAATGACCCATGGAGATAACATCCTCATGCCACCTACTGCTTTTCGGTGTTGAAAAGGAGAACCGTTTTACAGTCCTACAGACTTCAAGGAACAAAAGCAACCATAGCACGGACGAAAAAGGCAGCTCAACATCCATAGCTCTTGGCTGTCTTGCTGTGAAAACTCTTGGAGCCCTCACATTAGGTGTGCTTCTCTGCAACGGCCCTCAGACAAGCCAGGGCAGCCTCAACATTAAATACAGCTGCCCGTCTCCAAGATACCTACCGGGAACTCAAGAGACAGCGCTGCAGAGTCTGTCACCAACACCGCCCTCCCCACCCATTTTGTCCTGCGAGCAGTGTTTACCCTCCACTAGAAAGCAGATGACAGATTCCTGCAGAGCATCATGGAGAGGCTGACAGCGAAGATGTAAGAGATCAGATGTAGAAGACCGCAATCTGCAGAGCTTCTCTGACATACAGGGCCTAGATTGGTCCCTACACTATTTAGAAAACCCACAAGCAAAACAAAAGATTTCGGTTATTGCCATTCGTCCGAAACCCCTTCAGAAGAAAACAAGCACTAAAGCTACAGGTCAAAAAAACTCCACAAACAAGACCACTAAAGTGAACATACTCCCAAACAGCCGAACTGAATTTCATCACTAACAACAAATAGATGATACATGAAGACCCAATTCCTCAGGTCCAGCTCCCAGAACAAAAATATTACCACATAAATTTCTTTTATAGTATGGTTTGCAACTTACATTGGCCACGGTAGAACAAAAGCAGGCCAGCCATAAGAGCTTTACTAGAGCGTTGGGATTTTATTTTCCTGTTCTTTTAAACTAATGTATCCTGTTTGGGTTTTTTCCCTGGAAAAATCTCTGCAGACATCTCAGCATTGGTCACCGTTAATTAAAATACCGCTTCCTTCTAACCCACATTGCTACAAACAAGCTTCAGTTACCATTATTTGCAGTCACACACTGCAACATCGAGAGCATTTGCAGCTTATTTATCAGCAAACCTGTATTCTGAGCAGTAGGTGCCTGTTGGCATGTTCCAACTTCTTCTGTCTGTTCTCCAGCTCCTTCGTGCGCTGCTGTTCTCTTTGCAGCTTACGGATGTAGTCCACCGATGCTTTTAGAATAGTTCCCTTATTCCAACGCATATCCCTTTGAAATCAACACAAAAGGAAAAGTGGAGGCTCTCAGGGAGGCTTTATTTTATAGTCATTACCTTCACATCGCAGCTATGATTACACCTCCTATGCACCTAACGCCTGCATGGGATTTATTGCAAGCCGAGGAATACAGAAGGCATTTGGAATGCACTAGAGGGGGCCAGAGCACAGCTGTTGGGAAGCAGCCCAGCCAGCCCCGGCCCACCCGAAGGGGACAGAGCCCAGTGCTGCCCAGGCTCCCCACAGCCCCCCAGGGCCAACCCCCTCCTGCTGCAGAGCTTGGGACCAGCGCTGTGCAGAGCTACAGGGGCTCCTTTCGTGGCCCTACGAGGCTGCAAGACAACAACAACAAAACCCCACAGGGCTCTTCTCGCACGGCTTGTTGTCTGGGTGATGCCCGATTTCAGCTGGGGAGCTAAAGGGACCATGTGTGACCCAGTGCTTCTGCGGGAGAAAGACCTGAGGCTCTTTAGCTCCCAAGAGGCAGCAAGCAACAGTCCTCCGGTGGCACTGTATCACGGCTGTGTTACGGGAGGAAGAGGAGAGCCCAACACAGCAGCATATTCAGCTGCTTTAAACTTAAACTCTGGATAAAATACAACTGCCCCACTGCAGCCTTGGTGTAATGGTTCTTCAGCCAGGGGGTACGTGGCTCCCATACTCCTTCTCCCACACTCCCTTTAGAGAGAGAGGTGCCTGCATCATCTCACTTGGTTTAAATTAAAAAAAAGCAGCTTACCGCAGGCTATCAGACCAAAGATCCACCTGTCCCATCGGCTGATACTGCGTCATACTGTCTTGCTTGCCTTAGAAGCTAAAGAGCCTCTGAAGAGTCGCTAGGAGTTGCTCCATGAGGACAGGTGGATCTTTGGCCTGACAGTCTGCAATAAACTTTTTTTTGCTCCGTAAGCAACTGCCTTAAAATAACGGAAACTCTCCCCAAAAGCATCACAGGGCTTTGATTCAGATTTATGTGAGACTTTCAAGCTGGAGAGTAAGGAGGGTTCCTTGCTATTGAATCAGCACTGGGAAAGCGTCATGACAAGTTCGCAGTGGTAAAAATCACCTAAAAGAACTACTGGGAAATTACCACAAACTCTGGCAAATTATCAGTGAACAGATATACAGCTATGCTCTATTTTTCTTCTTTTTTTTTCTTGGAGGGAAGGGGAATACAATGGCTTCCCAGATAAAGTACCCTCCATTTTCACCAAACAGGGATTGGTTCTGTCTTGCCAAGCTATGACATCTAATAAATTAAAAGAATCATTTAGCAAGACAAGCAGCCAGCTAAGCAGCGAGACTAGAGCTAAGGTTTCCTATCCTGACAACTCTACCTCTGGTAAGGCAGTCATTCCTAGCATCAACCCCAGCCCTGCCAAAGCACAGGGTCTTGCTGGATGCTGAGCTGCTGCACAACAGTATGGTGACTGTTTTGTGACAAATATCATCCAATTAATATAAATGTCAACAAGTTCCAAAAAGAAAAAAAATAAACCCCAAAACAATCTTCAAAAAAATATAATGGAACCTTCAAACATTTCTACAGCTGTTGAGCGCCAAGATCATACAAGAAAACTCAGGAATTATTTCCCCCCCCCCACCACCATCTCCTCAGGCACATTATACTTACGGGTCATTCGACTTGGGTATCAAAGTGCCTAGTTCTTTTATACGATCATTAATATTAAATCTTCTTCTTCGTTCAACTTTAGGAAAAAGAGCACAAATGTTACAAGTAATAGTCACACTTAATTACAACATATAAAGTGTTTCATCAAAAATTTCTTTAAGCGGCTTTGAAATGTTTGCCTGAAGCTTAGAAACCAGTGACAGTAATTTCTTTTGCTCTCCTACACATGGGCACACTAACACAGAAGCTGGGACTGCTGACGTGGCAGAGTTAAACGGAGTCTCTAAAAACCAGGGTGGCTGCGTTAGCATAGGACTCAACAGAGAAGCAAATGTTTTCCTAGGGAAAAGGACCACAGACAAATCAGAGAAAAAAATTTAGATGCTCAAGGAAATCCCAAAGGAGAAAAAGGAACAAATTTTTTTTTAAAGTACTCTTCCAGATACAACATTTTGAGGATCCAAAAGTCAACATAAATTTTTCTGCATTAGCTTTTCATGCTATAGAAAAGGCTTCCGAATTGCTCAAGTCATGAAATAGTTTCTTTTTTTCTAGTAATATAAAGTAAACAAGGAAAACTTCAGGATCCTTGAAGTCATAAGAGGCTCATTATTTTAAAATGGTTTGGGTTTTTTAGTTTTGTTTGTTTGTTTGTTTTTTTCCCCCAATTTGGAAAGAGACGATCCTGTCAAAAATGGAATTTATAAAAATGCCACACTTAGGATGCACACTGACGCTTAAAGTCACAAACTGACCACATATCTAAGATTTTGGATTAATTTTTTAAAAAAAGAAGGTGGCAAAATCATGCAAGGTGGATTTGTTAAAAGCAACTGGATCAAATGTTCCCAGTAATTCCACTGATAACAACCACCTGTTCACTTGGCTTGCTAAAAAAAAGTTTAAAACCCAATAGTAGATTTAAGCAAACTTTTCACAAGAATTTGAGATATCTGATCTATGGGCACAACATAACAAAATGGTACTATATACACTACGTGCAGTGTCTCATTCAGATTCAGCATTCGAACAACTTAACACCAAAAATCAGTACTAAATTGGTGCAAAATGCGAAGAACCGAAACTTACTCAAGTTGTGATTGTCTTTCTTTTGCCTCTCCTTAGCCAACGCTCTCGCCTCTGACTCTGTAGGAAAAATACATGCTGTGCATGTGAATGAAGCAATTAGAATTAAAGTAATTCCAACACAACGTTTCAGTCTTGTGAAACATTTGCACAGGAAGCCTGATCGATATTTGTCAAACCGATTATTATACCCATTCCAGCGGGTGAGAAGGGCCTGTCCGGTGAGCTGTGATTGCCGAAACACAACGCTGGTGTTCAACTTCACCCCTGCACCTGCCGAGCATCTCTTCCCACACTTCCCATACTGACTTCCAGGACGAGAACATTTCCCACGGAGGCCCTGATTCAGCAAGGTATTTGAGGACAACAGCCTGCTGAAAGCCAGCATACCTTCCCCGTTTGCCCAGGGCTTACGTCCCACCCGGAGGCTGAACCAGAGGAACAGCATGCTTCCTGCATGGCTACCTGCGCAGGATGTGAGGCCGCCGGGAGGCAGAGGCTCTACTCACCAGAATTAAGGCTACGTCCTTTCAGGGCACGTGCATCACCACATGACTCAAGGTATAACTTAAGTGACCTATTAAAAAGACTGAATTTTCCAGCTACACTAACTGTTCTCATTATATGAAATAAAAAGATGGAAAATTCAACGCTTTTATTAGCAATAATGTCAGAAAACAATGCTCCTTGCTTCAGGAAAAGCAAAAAGAAAAATAACGACAACCATGCAGCACATCAGTTGTCTCCTCAATCGAAACTGCTCTTAACCTTGCTCCGCACATTTATTATCAGACTTCAGGATCCAATAGTTCAGGCAAAAGCATACCTAAATTTATTATTTTCAGTTCTCATTTGTTCTTACATTTCTCAAGCAATTTTAAGTATTTTAATGTCTGCCTTACTCCTTTTAGGTTTTGAAAAAGACGAGGTCGCTAATCCTTGCCCTGTTGCATTTAAAGCTCAAAACCAGCAAGAATTTTTAGTTTCGCAGTAAGTCAGTGAGTGTATGATCTATTATCACACATTCCATTATGGAAACAAAATCCCTCACCGACTCCAAAAAGTTTCTTTCCTGTATTATTTTATTTTGAAGGAATATAGGTTATGTCCCACCCAATTCAAAATAACAGGCGATAAGGGTTTTCCTTAAAGTACCGAAAGCTTACGACTTCATGGCTTAGAACACAGAGCTACCCCAATATTATATGCAGTGTAGTAAGACATTCTTTTCTAGGCTAGGCTCCCAAAAGATCCCTGAAGTTCAACAGATCACTGCATGTCTTCGTGAGATTTGGGCTTAATCTGACTTTGCCTTACGAAACAGATACAACGTTTGTAAGGCCAAAACTGATAGGAACTGCACTCCTGCATGAGCAGGATTCCCATTAAACGCTTCAGTAACTACAGCTGAGAACTCACAACCATCATCAACATCAGATGTCAGGATAACAGATCTGACTTTTTTGGAGGGTTCTTCATCATTTTGTTCTTTATACAGTAGGATGAAGAAAAGTTTCTGACAAATGCTAGACTTAAATATTGCAAGCTCTGTCCAGCCTAGCTCCGACAGCAAAACCAGGAAATGAAGAACCAGACGACTCCTGCCTGCAATAACATGCTGGTTTTAAAATCCCTGGCTGTCAGAAAGTACCACCAATAGTGCTTTCTGCACAAAGGCTTGGCCAGATCAATGTCCAAGTGCCTGCTGCTAAATTTAATTCCTAAACCTCTCCTGAATTAAATGCAATCTGCTAGCATATATTTTGAACAGAAAAGGCACTCACCTAAATAGTTCCTGTGTACAGGGGAACGTAGCATAGAGACATTTAACCTAGTTCAGGTCTGTTTTGATGTACTGAGGACCTCTATAAGACCACTGCGCTCACTGACTTGTCCTCTCTTTCTGGCTTTCTTTTGCTGGAAGTCTTACACAACCACCTGCAGTGAATCCACCAGCCTGGACATCCAACAAGTTGGATGTTTAGTTTGCAGTCTACAGCCACCTTTTAACTTTCTATAACTGGGGCAATGAAACTGTCTAATGCAGGACTTTGAATAGTTCTCAACCCCTCCCACCCTCCTCTCAACACAGTTCCATCGCTGTACAAGCTTTTCTTTTTCTAGCTGCCACAAATCATTGTGCAGTTTGTGTGTCTTCATTTGATGCTGAACTCAAATTTTGTGCAGTCATATAAATGCAAGTATCTGCCAGCTCAGAGATGTGGCATTTCCTCCTCAGAAGCTGACTCCTGGGCCATTACAACTGCTCTACTTTAATCCTGCCCAGAACCTGCTTTGCTACTGAGTCAGCCTGTGAGTTTTCACAACAGAAACCCAGAAAGTAGACAGACAAGAAAGAAACTATGCCTCTACAATACTGCATACACTATGACTCCCTGTTGGGCTTAAGAACAGCGATTTCTAGGTATTAAGATGATTTTGTCATCGGTTCTAGGCTAGATCTTCATTTGTTCATCCTGCAGACAAGCTTGCCTTGTTACCGTGCCCTACATGTGGTTATATCCTTTCAAGTGAAGCAGAACAGGGAAAAAAAAAACCCATGAGAACATGAAGCTTCTTATTTCTTCCTTCAAACTATCTAGCTTCTGTACACATATGCTTGAGAAAGAGAGGCTTTTAATATTTCCCTTCCCTCACCTCCCACGGTTTATTCAGAGCACTTCTGGAGGAATGGACATGACAAGAAATTTACAGGATACTTAATTTTCCTTTTAGTTTAAGAGATGCACATTGTCTCTCTCAAGTGTCTAAGTTTACACTGTATAGGATCTAGGTGTCCCGGTTTCATATTAAAACAGGTTATTTGTTCATTACTGCTCTCCTCTGCTAGAGTAAGGCCTCAACATGTAGCATTCCTTGACATGAATCCCACAGAGACTCCAGATGTGAAGCTGTTAAACAAACAATAAGCCCAAACTAGAAAACAGCTCTGCAAGAGATGCATGGAAGCTTCCTGTGACACAATGTTTTCAAAGTGCAGATCTGACTTTATCTTAACTTGTCACAGAGAACACACACGTACCCACACACGAACACAACTGCATTGCAGGGTAACATGTCTGCTAAAGATTGGTCTGCAAAGCAAAAAGTAACTATTCATCCATGTATTCCTTCTCGTAACAGAAATGATGTCCAGTATCACCTGAATTCAAAACAATTATACTACTGCTCCAAGGCGGTGTTTTAGATATATTTACCTGTGAGCTCCCTTTTTATATTAGGAAGATTAGCTGGACAGGAGTTGCTGATGTTTAGTCCTGGAGGAGGCATGCTTTGGTTGCCATAAAGGTCAATCAAATTACCAGACACAGGCAACTGGAAAAGATAAACAAGAAAGAGGATCATTTGGTTTGCCCTTACGAAAGACTTTGAACAGAAGAGAGTTAGGATCTGCTAAGAAATTTGTGCCCTCTTCCATGTGCAAACAGAGCATGCGATAAGGTCAGCAGAAATCACAGATATGCACCAGCATGAGGAGTAAGACATCTACATTGGGAAAACTCTGTCCTCTCCCCTCAAAAATATGCAGACAGAGAATAGGCAGAAGAGGTAGCACGCTGACAATATTGCTGTATTGTTGCTCCTTATTTTTCAGTGAAACTATGACACCTGTACCCGCATCACTTCTCTTACTCAAAACATCTGAAAGAACCTACAGAGATCTCCTGGAGAAAGACCCCCTTTTTCCAGGAATATGGCAGTGACAGTACTTAGCGAGTTGTCACATGCTTGAGGAAGAAACTGTATTAAACAATCATGTCTTTCCATGTGATTTGAAAGCTACCTACAGAGAAAACATTTACGTTTACCTTAACTTGGTTTTCGCCTTACCTAATAAGAACATGCATCAGTAGGAGGAAGATTATTTTTACATGAAGTTTCCCCAACTACTTGTTCATTCTGCTATTCTTATTTAGGCCTGTTTAAGCAAGGAGATTTATGCAGAAATAGGATAGTATTCCAACAAGACTTATCAAAGCTATCCCTTCAAATTGAAAGGTATTTAAAGAAGTTTACATTTATCCTGAGTGGATTATTTTACCCATCTCTTGTTTTGTTTTCAAACTAGGTTTTGAAAAGACAGGTATAAAACACCTTGATATCTTATCTGAGTGGCAATACTCATCATTGTTGCTGCAAAGGAAACCAATCCCTCCAAGACACTGATCCTGCAGAGATTAGGGTAAGTATTAACTTTACACCCATGCAAATAATGCTGTTGAATACAATGGAGTGAGTCACAGCCTGGACTATTAAACTCCTACTGATGGTCCTTGCCAGACTGAGACCTAAGAAAATTTCTCTGCCATCTAGAGCTACTATAAGAAGTCGACATGCATCCATTAAAGAACCACCAGCTAGAAGCCATGCTGACACTTGTCTTGAACAGACAGTGGCCAACAACAAAAAGTCCCCTGACTCAATCTTTCAGTGACCAAGGAAAAATGTAACCGAATTCTCACCAAGATCCTCGCCCTCCCCTTCACTCTTGAATGCATTATTAAAAAAACAATCAAGAGAAAAAAAAAAAAAGGAACGTCTGCGATAAAGCTAAGGTCACAGCTGTCCATCACCGACTGTGCTCCCAGTTTTGACCTACCCACAGTAATGTCACAGTGAGCACTCCCTCTCACTGCTCTACAAGGCTGACCCCGGTATTTTCTGGCCCCTCAAATGCATCCATGACACAGGCACAGCAATAGCGTCATAGACCCTTCTGACTTGGATGTGATTTTTCTATTCATGCTCCTAAACATAGGGAGAGTACAAAGACTTTGTTTGTAGCCCAGGGACCTGAAGTTCAAAACTAGACACGTGAAATCTAATTAGGAATTTGGGGCGGGGAGGGGGGGGGGGAGAAAATAAGATGTTTTTTCAGAGATCTAGAAACTAGCATCTCAAAGGCTGGATAAAGCAGCTAAGACATAATAAAACCTGGAGAACAGTTAAAAGTCACCAAGCTGCTTTCCTTACTGCAAGATGGCCCCTGCTTGTTACAAGTAGTCTGGGATGTTTCTGTTTGGTTTTTTTTTTTTTCCCAAAGGTGTGCCAGATTTCTGTGCAAATAAACAGGACCTGTGTAAGCAATCACCACAAAACGGGAAGGGAACACAGGTAGCAGCTGCTGAATGTGCACACTGAGGTCCTGCAGAAGTTGCAAGCACCAGGGGAACCCAAGCAAGAGCTGTGCAACAGCAAAAGCACAAGCACTGCTGAAGCAACATGAGCTAAATAAAGGAAGACGAAGGGAGCAAGCTGCACAGCTGCTAAACGTTGCAGGTCTGCATGTACACGTGAAATTTACGTCGGAGGTAGAAGCAAACAGTCATTTTAAATCAGGGATCCATAAGCAAAGATCAGCTTCTTTCTTTGACTGCTTCTCCCAGCAAGCTGAACTTGACAGGTGAAAACCTCGGTTTTAACTTTTTACTATGAGTGTGGCTACATGTATGGTCCACGCTCAGTGTGAGCCTCTGAGAAGCCTCTTCTCCAGAACAGCTTCAAGTCACATCTTTGGGACTAACTTCGTACAATTCCTTTCAAATGAAAAATACGAAGTGCATACAACACTTCAGCTCATCTCATGCGGTTAAAACACCTGCAGTTAAAGAGAAGTTAGAATTGAGGCACATCTGCTGTTCACAATTATATTCCAGGTCCCAGAGGAATAAGATCAGTTGACTTGTAAGGTAATAATCATTACCAATAATCACTAGTGCAGGGTTTAGGGAAGGGGAAAGGACCCCTATGCTGAGGGCATTGGTTTGAGATGGACAAGTCAGTAGTCCTGTGAGCACACAAAAGCAGCCACTAGGCTGAAATGGGGGGAAAAAAACCCAGAAGGGGCTTATAAGGGACACGATACATTGATGCCTAGGCATTTATTTCAAATGTTTCCTATTGGAAGAAACTGGAAAAAATTAAACATTGTTTGCAAACATTTCAGCTCTAATCTATTAAGACAGTCAAGGCTTTCATCCCTTTCCCCTAGTACAAAGAGATGGGAAAACATTCAAAACTCCCACAGCCATTCCATTGGGAAGATGGAGTCTCAAAACTTTGAGAAAGACACAGGATTTTCTGGTGCTAAAGGAGGCTCCTTCCCTGTCTTCTCCAAACTCTAGCATGTTTCCAACCTAAATATGCTTTCCTTAAGGCTTTCTTAGCTACTTCTGGCCAAGAAAAAAATTGAAATACAGCATCACGCAGACCATCCACCTTTACCCTCCCAAACAGCAAACGAAGGAAGAGTGGCTTACGCCAGGCTTGGCTTGTTGTCTTCATTGAAATAGCACGGGCTAAAATGCCTTCATTTGCAAGAGTTCCTATTTCTAGGCCTTGGCTTCACAAGGTGCACAAACATACCAAGTAAAACGAATTTCAGCCTTCCTATCACTTTCCATCTGCCTTTTTTTTATTTTATTTTTTTTTTTAAATAACAGCTTTGCTCTAACAGAAATTTCAACTATGGTCATTATTACTGCAGAGTCATCATAATGTACATTCATGAGAGTCTGAGGCTTCCCTTTCTCCTCCACTACTCCAGCAAAACCAGCACCCACATTCAGGTCATTCAGGCTCTGCGTAGAATCACCCAGACAGCAGCTGTGTGATCAACAAGGCTGTTCCTAAGGAATCAGTACACTCTGGAATGGATTCTGCTCCCCAGCTCATGCAGCCTACTACGCACTGTGCTGTTCCCTTACCTACAAGCATGTGCTCGGCAACACTCCCTGAAATGAGACTCCTCTCTACTTCTGAAGTTTAACTTCCACAAGAAAGTCACATTTAGAAGTGGAGCTGCATGTACTCACACGGCTTTCTACATCAGACTCTTGCTAAAATTGGTTAGTTGGATGAATTAGTTCTCATCTCAACTGGGCATACAAGAGTATTTACCCAGTACCGGGCAATTCAATTACTAGGTCGTATCTACGCAGAAAACCCTCTCTGGCAAACTAGTGACCATTTGGTGACACCTTTCACCACAGAAGCAAAGCCCGTTCACTTGTGACCCAATATCAAAGTTTACAAACACTTTTACAAGCAGCTGATTGCAATGAGCCCGTTTCAACTGAGAGGTACTTGGAAACTTCCCTTAGCTCGCTCTACGCAGAAATCTCTGGTTTTGCTTATCAATTAAGTACTGTTACCAAATGTAACAAACTGGTCCTTTTGTTCTTTGTTGGTTATGGAACAATAGCAGCCTTTGTCGTAGTCCCAGCACAGCTATTTATAGGTTGCTTCTCTTTAGAGACCATTTCCGCTCTTGATTTCTTCCACCTCTACTTAGCTCAGTCTACAGACATTAATTCCTTAGTAGTAAAATGTTGTGTGTTTTAAGAGCTAAATGGTGTTCTAAAAGAACAGTGTCTGTCACATCAGGTTCATATTTTTCCCAAACCCACTGTTGGGAAACATTGTTCCATTTCCATCTCTTCAGGATTGGTACCAGATTAATTCAGAGACTGATACATGCTTTTTGCCTCCAAGAAGTCTTCATTCTACTATTTCATATCCTTATTTTACAGACTTCACCATATAGTTTCATAGCAAATGTGGATCAGGCAGTCTTTACAAGGCTTGTTGTCAGACAGCAAGGACGAGGGATGCGGACTACCCTAAATATCGATGGCACGGACTCCTTGCACCAAAAGAGTGCAGAGTACTATCATGTCCTTGCCTAGAAGCAAAGAGCCACTGCTGGGGTTCCTCTGAAACAAGAGAGGGAGAAAAGCACAAAGAAATCCGAGTCGCCTCTAATTTAATGGGTCCCAACCCAACGGAACTTCAGAGAAAGGACTCCAGAAGGACCTGATCCCTCAAATACCAAAAAAAAAAAAAAAAAAAAAAAAGCAATGATCTTGAAAACTATCTTTTTCATGGGTTTTTAAGTTTTCCTTTCAAATTCCAGACAGATGCACTTTTCAAGTCATCTTAGGTTAAAGCAAAATTCATTCTTTCCCGTAGGACTCTGCAGTTATTTTTTCATCTACTCAAAGGGCACTATTCAGCAAGGGATGCTGGTGGGCTGTTCCCTGCGGCCTTCACCACACCTCCGAGAGGGCTGTGGGAATCTGTGGGAGCACAGGAATAAGTTAACACGACACCAGACGACTACTGTCAGCAAATGTAAACCTATGTTACAAAATCGATGCTATGTGGTAAGCTGTAAATTTTGGCACTAGATAAAAAAAAAAGAAATAGACGCCAGCCCTGGCAGACAGCTACTCAGCCAGATCTAACAGCATTTAAGCCTGAGACAAAAAATTCACTAGAGCTACCCTCCACAGAAGATCAAAATAAGATTATGACAGCAGTACGATTATATTAATGCTGGCAGCAATGTGAACCAGCAAACAGAAATCGCAACTCGGAGGTAACCTGCACCTTTCCCCACTCACCGACTTTCACACCTCTGTGTTCTCCTCTTCCATCACAAGCTTCCTACGTCCCCTTCCCCAGTTCAGGTCTTAAGCTGCTTTATTCCTTCCCCTTTTGTTTGGTTTGAAGATTGTTCGGGGGTTTTTTGTTTGGGGTTTTTTTTTTTCCTTCCCCTAAATTATGTAACATCCTGGCTGTTGCCTAGCTAGGGACTTCTCTCCATTTGAAATCAGGTTAAGCTAAAGCTATGATGTTAGAGCTAATGGTTAAACTACAGCATCTCTGGACAGGCATCAAGCGTGGCATACAATTTCTTACTTGTACATGACAAGACACAAGAATCTGGGGTGCTGGAGGCTCCTTCTAGGCTTTCTGAAGCCAAGTATAATGTCCACAGTGATCTTTAATATCGACGGGTATGAGCTCACTCTCGTTAGCCCAGTTCACTCCTCCGTTACAATCCTCTCATGGACTAACTTGACTCCGAAATAAGAAAAGCAAAATCGTCCTTTGTATTCCCTTGACCTGACTCCAGCCTGAGCTTTTAAATTCATGTTTTCATTGCAACTGTATACTTTTAAGCTCTTCAAAGAAAAACTAATTACACTCTATGGGACAAGACAATAACTACTTAATTGCTTGGACAATTTGCATTCTCTCAAGGAAAGACAATCAGACTCAACAGGGAAACCAGAAGGAAAGGACCATTGTACCGTATTTGCCATTTGCAGGGCTGGGTCCATCAAGCCAAGGATTTCTTCATTGTAACTTGACTCCAGACTAATTATGTCATCGATCACATCATCCATCTGCAGCAGAAAAGGTGGACAAAGAAAAACAAAACAGTTATCAAAACCACTAGGATACAGAGGCCTGACAAAGCACTTCAGCCACATACCGGCTCTCTGCAGCACAGACTCCAGCAGAGGTGCCCGTGCAGTTCTGCCACGCTCCAAATCCAACCCCTCAGCCACGGCTCCCGCTATTCAGCCAGGACAGTCAGGTCATGACAAAGCTGAGGCTTCATGGTCTAACCCACTCCTCCCACCAGCACTTTCCCTGCACTGCCTGCCCATGGAGACACTGTTCCTCCCAGGAACAGCGGAGATAGCTCCCTGTAGAAATGAGCTATGCCAATGACGTGATTCCCTGTCCCCCCGTGCAGCACTGCCTGCCTACCCTCCACCTCTTCCCTCTGGTTGTGGGTCAAAACCTGTGTACAGAGTAACGCCCAAGCCCCCGACACCTGCAGGGGAAGGACAGGGAACAAAGGCTTGCTGCTGCGTGACAGGCTGCCTGCCCTCGACAGCATAATATATTGGATTCACATCCCTCTCACGCCCTCCCAGGAAGCACCACCCAAGAGCAGTTTAGAAATAAGATTTCAGGTGGTGCAAGCAGTCTTCTTTCTGGGGCTGGGCTGGAAGGTGCCTCCATAAAGCTCCTGCACGGTCAGGAGAAACAGAGCCCTCCAACGCACCCGCACAGGTGCTCTGAACTGTCCTGCAGGACTGACTATTTCCTTTTTGCTCACTATAAAAAAGGAACTTAAGTGGGAGTCATCTACAAAATCAACGCATAAAATTGATGGTAGAAATAGTAGCGTATGGGATTTTTGTAACAGCTCATGAAACTGTGATCAGAATGAATGACGCTGACTGGAAGTGAGGGCAAGAAAGGAACTAATAGTTACAGCCCGTATCTGAAGTCTTGTTACTAGAAATAAAACCCTCTTATTTTAAAATAAAAAATTAAAACCAAACCAAACAAAAAAAAAACCCAGAAGGATGACTACTGAGGACAAATTACCATGGATGGATTAAAGCCTTCTCATATCACCTTTTTATATGCAAGTGTGATCTGCATAGAAACTATCAGGACAAGAACACATACGTGCAGTCTTGGGAAAACTACGTTAGAAAAGATTTTCTTAAGTAAGGCCTTAAAGGCATGGTTGGTATGTTCTTCTGTGATAGCATTACAGTGCTAGGAGAGCGCCAGCCCTCTTCAGGTGTCTTAATGCCCTTTTGACATCAATGCTAACAAAGAATACTGTTGTTTAGTTCCTTAAACACATCTTATATTCAGGTTCTTAAAGACACTACGGGGCAAGTTTGTTCTTCAACATAACTTCAAAGAAACATGTTCATTAGGAAGGGGACCTGTGCTCCAACTCCTGTGTCATCCAGTACCTGCATGCATGATGCTCGTGAGTGTGTATTCAGAGCCGGGCACTCACTCTCAACCCTGCTTTGCTCTTCAAATTTATAAAATCCCTGCAGAAATAAAAAGGAAAAAAAGAAGGAAAAAAAAAAAGAAAAAAGAAAAAAGAAAAAGCAAAGCATGGATCTGAGTTCATGGCACAGTCTGAGTCCCAAAAAGAGCATGATTGAAACAGTGTCATGCACACATGTGCCTGATGACACAGCAAAGTGAAGCTGTAAATAGCTTGAGTAAAAAAAAAAAAAATATTTGGGTACAAGTGGGATGATAGGATGGAACTATTTGATTTTCTTTTCTTTTGATGCTATGGAGCACAAGAAACTTCTCTTGCATGTGCAAAATACATTCTGTAACAACCGTTTCTCAAAGTTCCATAAAGTTTTCCTCATAGAGCACATCTGTATTAAAAATCTGGCACAAAGGCTTGAGGGAGGAGGATGAGGGGACCCAAGGAGCTCTACAACTGTTTCCCATTTGTCAAGCTACAAAATTATCGACATGATTCTTACACTTGTTAACATCTTTCAAATCATCTTCCTTCAGCACCTGAGCACATGTCACATCCAACTAAGTTTTTGACGGCAAAGATTAAGACAAGGTTGCAAAAGGCTTCTAGGCATAGGCTAGTCAAGTCTTATACTTGCATCACTGAGCTCATCATAAAACAATCATCAGTAACATTTTAGGGTATATTAGCTGGGATAATCTGGCCTTCCAGCTAAGCAAGAGACTTGCTCAGATTTTACTGTAAAAATATCTAAATTATCCCCAAAAGCTTTGTGTTTTTCCGTTATTTTTTCTATGCTCTTTGCTCTTTCTACACTGAATGAGCCATAAATAACATTATTCCAGAAAGCTACAGCTTACAAAACTGCTTTGTACTCTCCAAAGGTCAATTATTCACTGCGTGCATCAAGCAAGGGCGGGGGGTGTAGTTTTAATAAGCGTAAACTAGCTAAAATAGTTTAAAAAAAAAAAAAAAAGAGGAAGTTAGAGGGACACGGGTTTTTTGCTAAAATGTTCTATGCAAACACATATTCATCAGGCAGACACAGAGGCAGCAGTTGCATTTTCAACGTGAGCAGTTCAGAAAAGAAGATAAACATAACATCTCAACAACGAGCAAACATGGTTTAAAACAGAAAGCAAGCAGATTGCAATTCCATTTTACTGAAGAGAACGCACAGGGAGAGCGTCTTACCTCTTTCTCACAGTTGGAGTTAAGGGTGAGCATAGCCATTGGGCTGTTGGGCGCGCTGCTTCCAGTTCCAGGCGGCATGACATGATCACCGGGCTGGTTTGGACATGGTAAGCTCAGGGCTTGGTTGGCATGTTTATTTGCTAGAGTGGTAGAGAGGTACTGCTTTACCTGCTGCCGCTGGGCTTGCTGAATGTGGTACTTGGTTGGATTCTCAAGGTGAGTCTGCACCTGTGTGACACAATTTAAAGAGTGCTTTATTGTTTTACAACATCATTATACGTGCTATTGATTTACAACATCGTTATTTGTGCTGCTGGTTTGAGCTATACATTTGTGACATATATACCAGCTAAGCATTTCACTTGAAGTACAAACCCGTGCAGCTCCAAGGAAGTCAACAGCGCTTCACTAACTCACATTTGCTGGCAAGAAATCAGTTTGAGCTAGTGTTTCAATAACTAACTTATTAACAGTAAACCAAGAAGTTCCACTTCATTTTCTGCAACATAAGATTTCTCACTTAAGACCAATGCTCAAGTTTTCCACGTTATACAGATACCCCAGAACAGACGGTTCTGCGTTCAGAACTTCAACGACGTGACATTTAGTTTTCACTAAAACATGGAGAAACAAGTTATACTGCAGGACTCATTTTACTTGTTAGTAGTTACCAATTAAAACCAACTAGCATGGATTGCTATCCTTTATCAGATGTCAAGTAACAGAGAGATCAAAAGGTTTACTGTTGGTTTTTTAGGTTTTGGTTGTTCCGAGTTTTTTAAATTAACACATTGGTTAAAACAAAAGGAATACACCATTTTTTTGCCCACAAATTATTTATCTCTCATGTATATGGTCTAAATCATACTTAAGTAAGATAGCCTGTTTATAAACACATTATGCAAATAAGATGCAAGAAAAGAAGTGTTTCAGTTCAGATCAATCACTGCCCTCAGCAACAGCTATTTTTGTATTTAAGATAAGCTTTTCAGTACTGAGAATTATTTATATACAAAATATGACTAATAGGGGTTTTTTTTGGTTTAAAACAGTTCTATTAAAGTGACTTTTGCTTTTACAAGTGACCAAGTATGTCCCCCGCTTATTTTTATGGAAGAAATTAAATAAAGCATACTAGATACCAAAGGAAAAGGATTTCCTCTATACTGTAAGCCGCCTTAGCAACAGGTTTTAAAATAAGTCTGCAGTAACAACTCACCTGATAATGATTATACTCAAGCATTTCCAGCATACTGCTTACAGGTTGCAGGAGAAGCGACTGCAATATCCTTTGCTCTATGCTTACTCCAGTTTGAGGGATTCACATATGGAAGCACCATAAACAAGCTGCCCCAAAATAGCAGAGGAAACCTGAATGCCGCTGCTCAGACTTATAGTAACCTATGCTAATTAGCCACGCATGTAGAGAAACAAACAGTTCACACAAGGGCTCTTCTTGGAAGCTATGCAAGTTTAGCCCTAAGTATTGGTATTATTCTTTTTTCTCTGGCTTTGACATCACGCTTTTTCCTAAACATAAAAGGACCTTTTAAGTGATGGGCTATCAGTCAGATTGACAGTTCGCTCAAGGCTAATCTGCTATTCATCTTTCGTTCCAGTCATACTAATAGACAATGGTGTTTTTCTTTAGCAGTAAGGTTAAAAGTTTTTAAGTACAGAGTAAGAAATAACTGAACAAATGCCCTACGAGCCTAACGCATACCCCCTGGCAGTGGGGTGCACTGGACAAACCCACGGGGCTACGCAGACCTATCTTCAACTTCCAGATGCAGCAGTCCACCACGCTGCCCCACACAGCCACTAGTCCACCCAGGACCTGCAGCTGAACACAAAAAGCTCTACAACATCCTCAGCCTCCCCAGTGCTTCACAGCCCATTAATTCTGTCTTAATCTACAGCTAGAAGAAATTTTCCAGTTCAGGAATGGTTGACAATGGGCTAAAGAATGTCCCAAATGCACTTATCTGGACTTGTACACCATCATGGTACTGTGCACAGACCCTACACCTTCCAGAACCTACTGCTTCTTTCCATCCAACTCTTTGACAAAAGCCGGTACTGAAGCACAAGCATCGAAAGCTGCTCAACTTGCATTATTTTCCCAAGTCTCTGCTGCACAGGGAAACACACTTAAGATAGCGTTTCTAGAGAGTTTAATCTGATTTGTTGCACTAAATCGCAAGACAACACAACACAGAAGCCTGCTGTGATAAGTACAGCACTTGCTTTGCCAGTCCCAAACTGCATTATCAATTTTCCTATCACCAGTGATAAGAGTTACACTAACAAGATAAGTCTATTTTTCACTTAAATTTTCATCTTCCAAGTAGATAAAGTTATCAGTAAACAAGTTATTTTTGTAACACTTATCTTTGATTATGTTATTTTAAAAGCAAGCCCTACTTGTCTGACAGAATTTGCACATTCCTTTTCCTCTACAGGTATCGGATACCACAACTGCTCTCTTGGGGACCCTGCAAGGGTGACGGGATAGAGCAAAGCCTCTCCTTTCTGCACCCGTGTCCTGCCCACTCTCCATGCTCCCAGGAGAGAGACCATCAAAATTCCAAGATCCACATCTCAATTGTGCATCATCAAACGTTATAAATTATACATACTAATACACTGAACTGACTCCACTACATGTCAAGTTTTGAAACACACACTGTTTAACAGTCATAGGATTTTTGTTGGCAAAACACATGCTCATTTCACAAGAACATATTTTCCCCAAGATTTTCTTGTATTATCCTACATTAGAATAGTTTGTGTTATTTTGCTACTCCATAATTTTTTTTTTTCTCTTTTCTTTTCTTTTTTTTTTTTTAAACTGGGCTGTGCTGCCCTCAGCACGCCAGAGAAGGCAAGAGAAAAAAGCTACAAACGTTAAACAAAGGAGCTGCGTTCTCCTTCACACTTTTAAGTTGCAGATTTCTACTTACCACATACAACTATTCTCCGAATGGGAGAGAGTGTGACACAACTATTCCTACCCTGCATGTCAGTGCAACAAGGGCAGGAGCTCCCACAGGATGCAAACAGTTTCACACACTGTCCTTCTTGGACAGACCTAAGGGTTTCAACTACCCTCACTCTGGCCAAGTGTGAGGCCTGACAGGCTACACTGAAGGTACCTGAGAAACTTCGGTTTGATTCTTTGTTGTGTTGCTTACTGCCCTCTTCAGCTGCCTTACGATCTCCATCATTGAAATCTGGTGGGGACCACCTTTATGAACTCAGTGTTTTTTTGTTGAGACTAACTCTGTCCTTTTCTGCAGCAGCCTCTACATCAAAGAGGGCTCAAATGTGCCTACATGGGCAAATGTCCCAAAATGTACCAGTCACGGTCAGCCTGCAGGAAAGCTATAAAGCAGTCTGACTCTTCGACAAAATATCTCACAAGCAAAGAGCTGCAAAGCAAACCCTAAAACAAAATTCTTCTACCCTGAAGTTGAAAACATGAATAAAAGCTTTGACTGAATTAAGATCTAATTTTGGTCCTCAGCCCCTTCTTGCCTCTGGGGTAAAGAATAGTTCTTGTTGTTCTTCCAAATTCACAAGATACAAAATACAAGATGACAACCATTTATTGGTTTGGACACACTCCCTTAGAAACATATCTGAATGGGGACATGAAAGAAAAACAGAATAACTTGAAACTGAATCCCTCTGCATCTCCAACCATTTATCTCCAGGAATCTCAACGGAAGCCTTGCTGTAACATTACTAAATTGAGCAGAACATTGTTTTTTGGACACGTTGGTATTGGCAAGCAAGAAGTAATGGAAAGAAGTAACAGAAGTATCGTCTGCAGAACTTCGGAAGTTTTAGACAAGGTGGCAAAACCAGCTAAATTTATCACGCCATAGTAACAGAAGAATTTGGCTACAACGAACTACAGATCAAGGATGACCAAGTGCCAGCCCACAGCCGGGATTCAGCCCAGAAACACTTGGAAGAAAGCTGTACTTTCAACTCGTATTCAGACACATTTTCAATCTGCATGGTTATCAAGGTACTGCTTACACAGGTAGCAGAATAACACTGCCTTAGAAGTAGAGGCCCAGAACTGGTTTCATAGAGTGACAGAATGGTTTGAGTTGGAAGGGACCTTAAAGATCATCTAGTTCCAACCACCCTGCCATAGGCAGGGACATCTTCCATTAGGATCAGGTTGCTCCAAGCACCATCAGTTACCCCTTGTCCTACCACTACGCTCCCTGGAAGAGTCTCTCCCCACCTTTCCCGCAGGCGCCCTTTAAGCACTGGAAGACGCTATAAGGTCTCCCCAGAGCCTTCTCTTCCCCAGGCTGAACAACCCCAACTCTCTCATGCTAGAACAGCCTCCAGTGCCAGCTCAGCAGCATCTCCACTGATCTCCGTGGGCTGGCTTCATGCACTACCATTGCACCAGGTACTCCCGCACTACGAGTCTCACGGGTCAGCGATCCAAGCTCCATCCTTTCTTGCCATGCTGACACTGAACTCGTGTGCTTTTTCTTGAGCTCAAGCACCGAGAAAAGCAGCATAAAGAAATCAGCTCGACTGTACCTGTATGTAACCCAGCTTAGGCACTACAAAGCTGAGCTGGGCTGGAAAAGTTTTGGATGGAGCCACGCTGATTACTCAGCACTTGTCCCTCACTTTCTGGAGTACCCTGGAGAACAATGTTATCTCAAGCAGGGGAACGGCTTTCTCATACCTCCACTAGTCTCGACTAATTCCAGTGCATACATCCAGTTCAAGCATCTGAGTAGGGGAAAAACAGATCCTGAGAAGCTGCCTATTTTCTTCCACATCAAAGAAACAACAGTAATAACCCAAATACATAGAGCAGATTTTTCCCAGCCCTTGGGTCTAGCATCAATCAAGCAAACATTTAATCAATGGCTTTCACTAGCTCTAAGCATACACACCATATCAGTGGGAATTTTAGGTATATTCCAGACTACATTCTTCAAAATCCTTGTATTACATTACACATCAATGACAGCACTCCTGAGTAGACCTACATATTACCTCAATTCTAAAACCTAAAAATGTTTCCAGTTAAAGCCATCAGGGGCTCAGGTATTTCAATACAAAGCACAGCCGCATGCTTAAGCGCAAAGCATATGGCTGAAACGGTCCCCCTGTATGAAGCCAACACAAGCAATGGAAACAATACTCCTGACACTTGCTCCTCCTGTCAAGTCTTGCTGGGAATC